AGTTTGAATATTAATTTTTGGTCCGATTTACGCAAAACGAGCTTATAGTATCATGAAGTCTTGCAGTGGTATGCTTGGGTTTGGGTTCAATTTTGTTAATTATAGGATCCCAAGCTGCTGGCAGCACCCATCCACCTTCTCTATTGAAAGGGGATGCCTATTTTCGGCCATGGAACGCCCAACAATGTGCATTTCTTAAAAAAATATATCTTTATTTATGGTTATTAATCGCGGTATTCATTTATCCTAAAAAGATGGGAATATTTTTGCACAAATTAAAAGTACCGAAAAGATAAGAATAAAATTAGGTAAATCATTAATTCATTCGTTTGTGAATAAAATAAAAAGTGTTGCCAATCACAAATCTCATAAAAAATCGATTCCCCTTTTTGATCGATTACTTATGGTATCATTATTACAATGCTAATATAATTTTTCGATAATTATTATGATGTTACGATATATATTTAAAAGGACCGTTGACAATGGATATTTATCCAAAGCAGCCGATACGCAACCGTTATCAACCAGTTGTTTATCCGACTACAGACGACAAAGGATGGTTATGTTTTTACTGTGTGTGCGGGTTAGGCTATGTTGAATCGTTTTTTGTTATGGTGCTTAAAAAAGTAGGATGCATTTTATTATAGAGGGCGCTACTATCAAAGTAAAATACTTGACCAACTTTGAGAATTCTTTCACCACTAGATTGTTATGTATAATTTTTGATATCTAATATAGGATGAATTTTATTATAGAGGGCGCTACTTTCAATGAATACGTTTTTTGGCTAATCTCAAAAATTACTAGACCAATTTTGAAAATTCTTTCACCATTACATTGCTAACGAGGGCATTAGTGGTGTGATAAAATTATATTATTACAATAATTAATTGTGAGATTAATATTTTCTAAATAAATAAAACTAAATACCTACCTAAGATGTTCAAATCCAATTATTATTTTTACAATTTAATAATCGTATTTGCACACTTTACTTACTCAGATTGATTATTATAGATAAAGAGGTAATAAATCTAAAGTAAAAGAGCTCTGCTTAAACGAAAAAACTATTTACTAAAATAAAACTAAAAGTTGAAAAAAAAACTGGTTCAGTGCGAGTCGGACTCGCAGACCCATGAAGAGTTCTGTAGTAACAAGCATATATTTTAAATCGAGTCAAAAATACCATTATCATTATCGCCAGCAACAAATTATTTTGTTTTTCATAGTGTTTGCGTTAATAACAAAGTTGTTTTTGCGGTTCTTTAAAATGTGCTACTTGTATCTAAAAAAAAAAGGACTATTATACATTATACGGATTTCTGTGCTTTATTCATTACCAAAGAGAAAAAACTTATTGCACAAAATGGGTTTTTATCCATTTCAAGTCATCAAAAGCGGTAGTCAACCGTTAAAAACAAAAACAACCGTTGTTATAGGCTCGGTTGAAATCACTGACAACCTTCACATTTATAGTTATGATAATTAAACAAGCGAATTACTAGCTGATTTACCAAGAATTCTTTAGAGTATAACAAAACGCTACTGCACAATTTAACTGTTATTCTTATCAGTTTTTAACATAACATTTAAAATGGAATCATGTTATGATAATTCAAGAAGTTAATTTCTAGCTGATTTACTATGAATTCTCTAAAGCATAACAAAACAATACAGCACAAGTTAACTCTTCTTAAAAATACGTTTGAAATAGAATTTCAATAAATAAAGGAAATTATATTTTAAAAAGCGTGCAGAACTTAAAACGCGTCAAAGATTATTCTTTTTATGATATTATTAATCGAATAAAAATTATACCATACCATAGTCACCGACATATTCATGGAGGACTTTGAGGAGAAAGCCCTTCTTACTGCTCCTGTAAATCCAAGGTTCTACAAGCGGTACGTAGACGACACTTTTACAATTTTACCATCTGACAAAGTAACTGCATTTTTAGACCACCTTAACTCCATAAACTCTAAAATACAATTCACAATGGAGTTAGAGGCAAATAATTCTTTAGCCTTCCTAGATGTTTTAGTCATTCGAAATCCTGATAACACTATTGGTCACACTGTATATAGGAAAAAGAACCATACCGACCGATATCTAAATGGTGAATCTCACAATCATCCTTCACAGTTAGCTACCGTGGGTAAATCTTTATTTCAGAGAGCACGAGGGATCTGTAACAGAAAACATTTGGCCGCCGAGCTTCACGTCAAGCAAGTATTGCAAGACAACAAGCTTCGGGTCCCGCGCCTACGTCACAGTGAACGAGTGAAGCCAGCCACAGTCGAGCGTGCGCCTGCTGTACTACCATATATCAGAGGAGTCACGGACAAGATTGGCTACATCTTGAAGCGAGCTTCCATTAAAACATACTACAAGCCGCCGAAGAAGATTAGTCAATTTTTACCATCCATCAAATGTAATATTCCTCTACAGGATGCAGGTGTGTACAAGCTAGATTGTGAATGTGGTCTCTCTTACATAGGTCAAACAAAACGATCTATAAAAACCCGCGTGAAGGAACATATAGCTGACGTGAAGCACCGACGCTCCGGGGAGTCTGCAGTCTGCGAACATGTTCAAGATTGTCCCCACCACTACATTCGATTTGATAAACCACGAATCCTCGCAAAAGAACTCCGATTCCTACCAAGGATGATACGCGAGGCTATTGAAATTAAAAAACATCCAAATTCCAATAGAGAAGGAGGGTGTGTGCTGCCACCTGCTTGGGATCCTATAATTAACAATATTAAACCCAAACCCAAGCATACCACTGCAAGACTTCATGATACTATAAGCTCGTTTTGCGTAAATCGGACCAAAAATTAATATTCAAAAACTGAAGGTAGCCGGACTAACTATGACATTGGGACGTCAAACATCTCAGTCCCCTCCCCCCCGTGACCATGGGTACTGTAAAGCACCCGAAACGTCGGGATAGTAAAAACAAATTAAAGTAATTAAGCGCGATAAAATCCGTAAATAATAGTTTTACTTAAATAATTTGTTGAAACTAAACTTAACTCAATTCTATTAGTTATTCACACCCTGAGCGAGCCATTTAGTGGCGGTCTAAGAGTACCCACTGCCCCACATCGTCCTGTAAGTGTCGCAAGAGGTGATAGAGGAAAGTAAAAGAAGGATGTGTGCAGCAGTTTCTTTCTGATAACAAATAATGATATTTCGAGTCTGGTACCCTCATTCCTGACAGAACTGTTTACTAGACCTCCCTTAAAATATTTATTTTAATTTTTTATATATGATAAGACAAAAAATTGAACAACAAAATTTTTGCCTTTTATTCCACTTTTGAATATAATTCTGATACGTCTGATACGTAAATATTTGACCAAAATCTCGCTAGACCAAGAATAAGAGCGTCTTTCCCTGCTTTTTTTAATCTTATTAATTTTTAAATTTCTTAATAATTATTTCTTTCTAATGACTGAGCTGTACATAAATATTCCTAAGACTGCTAATAACTAAGGGAGCAGAATATTTTTGAAAACATCTTCATATCTTTGTGAAAAATGGTTAAACGCAGATTTAAAATAGCATTTTAAAGTTCTACATTCTTTAGTTTTTGATTATCTTGGTAAAATATTATTTATTATAAGCAACGATTATCGTATAATAATAAGAAGAGCACAAGACCAAAAGTTTTAGATTATTTCCAGATTAGTTAATGATTTACTCATGTAGCTTCTTTGTTTAAGTTTTGTCTGCTACTTCTTTAGTCTCTCTAAGTTATTTTCTGCTGAGACATCCAACTTCAAATGAAAAAGAATCTTATTACCTTTTATTATCTATATATTAATTGATAAGTTATCATTGGACAACATAGTTCAGGAAGTATTATAAAACTGAATAAATTTTTCACAAGATTCTTTCATAATGTTTAAAAACATTTTTTACCCCCATAATTGATTCGAAAACGGTTCGATATATGATATTTTAAATTCAAATAGTTTACAATATAATAAAAAGAACTAAATAATATTCGATTTTATCGTTAAATTTTTTAAGTACAGTCGTCGTTTATTTCATGAAAGTATTTTTAGTTTACAATAATCATAGAATACTATAATATATAGTAGGTGGAGCCTAACTACACTAACATGTCACTAACAAGTCAATTCACATCTATAAATATAACAAATATCCTCGATTAAGAATCAAAATGCAGGTGCAGTGTCATACCTGAGGACATGGAAAGCTTCATAACCTGTTAAAGGACAGATTATATTTTCGTATATTAAGCATTAAACTGCTACGTTACACTGATTTTCTTTGCGTGGTTTTCTCTTGGACAACCCTTTCGTGATATAGCCATATTGAAGTTAAAGGCTTGAACTTGAAATACAGCTCTTTCTCCGTTATATTCCATTTTATTAGATACAAAGTAAATGTTAAGATTGTTCTATTATAAACTATTAGTTTGGCAACTTAAGACGACTTAAAATTAAGTAACTTGAAACTGTTTATACTTTGTTAGATTATTAATGTAACTTACTTAGTAGTTTTCAAGTTTTCACTAGCGTGGAAACTACAATGTTCTCCACTCATTAAAATCCATGCATTAATTCAGCGTATGCGAGATTCGGTAACATACGTATTAACAAACTTTCATATAGTATGTTAGTAAATATAAATTATTTACGTGGTAAAGCAGTGATGCGATTATATTAAATAATACATACATATATAGTTGTAGCACAAATTGCTCGGCTCGTCGGGGTTACGACCACGCTCTCATAGAATAGAAAAATCAGCTTAATGCTACTGTGTTTCGTATGGTGAGTGGAGAGGCATTCCACTTTAGTCCTCAGGGGTGACAAGGCATCTGCATTTTGATTCTTAATCGAGGATTATAATAAATTAAGATGTCTATGGGCCTCAGCATCCGCTTACTATCAGGGGGACTCTGTGTTCTATATATATATATATATATATGTAAATTAATTAAATCTTCAACTTACGTTCCGTGTCACTGGTATCAGACAGCGGTGGCTCATTGGCAATATACTGACGCCCGCTGAGAAGGTTGCTCTCGACTACAGGCCGCTTGTCCTCCAGCTGTCTTCTGAATGCCCGGTGGTCGTCCTTTCAACAAAATGTTATAATTATATAATTATGAAAGTAGTCATTCACTTGTTAATCACTCACTGCAGCATATCAATTGTCCACGGCGGAACATAGGGCTCCCGATAGATTGCTTCGTAGTAGGTTGGCAGCTGCAGTTTATTTTTATTTTAGGAAGATGCTGTTGCCCATCTACAGTCTCAGTTTCCCGCTGTTGCCACTTACTACACCAGTGAGAAGATAGACTCGTACGGCAGTGGATTCCCTTGCGCTGCCACTCAAGGGGAAACTAACTAACGTATAATACCCAACGTATTATGCAAGTCAAAGTGGCAACTTCAACTTCATCTTATTAATCGAGTCGCATTCATCATTTTGATTTTAAATCGAAGATAAATGTGGATCTATTGGCGACAGCATCCACTTACCATTAGATGCACTGCATTATTGGTGGTCACCCTTACCCTATTAAAAAGATGTCTTGTAACATGGGATACCACAGGTATCGATTTCTTAAATTACGCAAATACTACATATCGGAAATTAAATAATTATTAAAAGTAAAAAAGTTAAAACAAACGAAATAAAACTCGTAAAATTAGTTTTATTCGACAAGTGTCGATTCTTCAAATAATATTCCAATAATTTGTTAGGAAACACCCAAAACTCTACTCACCTATTAAAAAGACTAAAAGAAATAATAGAAATTTATATACCTAAGCTTAAGATACCCTTCTCCAAATTAAAATTAGTTTCAAACAGCCCTCACGTTATGTCAATAAAGATTTATAACCATTTACCAAATTCCATAAAAATCCTGGAAAATCCTGTGCAATTTAATAAACAATTAAAAATATTTCTTATTAATAAATGTTACTATAATTTAAATGAATTTTTTGACGATAAATAACGATAAAGTAAGAATACTTAGACTATTCATTGTGTTTCAAATTAAATTAATTTATATAAAATAATATTGAATGTTGATGATATGATAATTTGTAATTTATGTTTAAAAATTAGATAATACGAAAATAGTTAGCCCCCTAGTGTTGCTATGCCCTTGCGGGGCGTCACATGTATACCGATCAAAATTGTACCATCTTAAATTTGTAATGTGACATGCAATAAACAATTTGAATTTGAATTTCAATTTGAATGCGGACTTGGTAAAAATTCGTCGCTATATTCTATGAAGATGGAGGACGCGTGCTCAACGCCCGAAAACCGCGCCAAATTACACTGCACAAAAATTAATGTGAGCACTACGCGCGCTTAAAATCTGTAGACTAACGTGACCTAATGTATTAATTTTTTTTAAAGAATGCCAATGGCTGATGCAAACTGGACGCGAGTCAACCAGCGCGAACGCATGTGCGTTGCATTGCATGATCTTGATTTCACGTCCTTCATACATATTTTATAATGTGCAACCGGTGCGGTGTTGTGAGACTGACTTGGTGCATACTCATCAGGCTTACAAAAGCCTAAATTATATAAAACTGCGAGAGAGATCTTTATTAGTGAAAGGCGATATCCTTTTTACCCGATTTCGAAGGAGCCTAAAAGCTGTTTTTATTACCAGCCGTATCATCTAAAATAATATCGACGGATTTTGAAAAAGAATATCTCAATTGATTTGTCGTCATTGCGCGTGTAACGTAAAATAAACATAAGTGCGTGGCAATCTATACAAGAGGTCTGTGTGCTAGGACAAGCTGAAGAATAAAGTTTTTTTTATAAATTGGTTGCCGGAAATAAATACTAGCCCTAAATTAATTCAAGTCTCATATTAGAAAGGCTAAATGTACATTATATAAATGTTTTAAAAATCATTAAGATATAAAGGTTATATCTCTCCATCCATCCATCCATCACAGCCTATAAAAGTCCACAGCTGAACACAGGCCTCCCTTATAGATTGCCATATAGGGGGATATTGCGATAGTTGCCATACTTGGCAAGCGGGTTGGCAATCGCAGTTTTTTATAATTATAAGCTGTTATCAGGAAAACTCTGCTGCCGGTCTCTAGGTTTGTTTTTCTCTGTCGCCCTTACGCCATCCGCTGGATGTAATGAGGTAGGGGATATTCTTTCACCGCATTTACACGCTGTGAAGTCTATATAGAATATTATTATATATATTATAAACATAATGTAGGAGCGAAGGCTAGACTGTAGACATTCCAAGCGTCGGTGGTAACCAGATATAATTTTTTACGTGTTAGTTTTTGTCATATGACGTGAAATAAATCAACCTTATATTGAATCATTCCAGATGGAGTTTTCAAGATAAAATACTTCACATATACAAGAAAATAGGATAGTGATGAAATATTGAACTCTGGAACATTAATTCACTTCTTGGCCCGTCCGAAGCCATAAATCGTTGAGACGAGGTCGGAAGCTGAATAGCAACGCTCAGTTTGTGGATCGATTGGTAGTTTTCTATCTCAATACGGAATTTTATGTTCTCGTGGAAGTCGAAGCCATCGCCATAAAGATAACTTTGTAAAATGTTGAATTCTACGCTGCAAAATCTTAATTATTATAAAAGAATCCATTGCTCCATATCGCCCCGTAGGTGTCTTTGGAAATGAAACCGGAAATGGGCAGTAGCATCTTGAACAAAAACTCTGCATAATAAAAAGAATTGCCAACCCACATGCCAAGCGTGGTAGCTAAGGTAAGCTAGGTCCAGTATATCAAATTTCGATACGGAAGGTTAAAATAATCGGGAATTTGGTTTTCAAATCGGAACAGCTACAAAGGCTACAAAAAAACCACGGTTTTTGTAGCCTGTTTGGCTGGCATGGCTTATCCTTGATCGCCCAAACAAAAATTATTACATCATACGCATAACGTCACTTTGTTTATTTAGACGAGGGCACGACAAACAATACAAACGCTTGAAAAAATTGACTTATAGTAGAAGTTCTACTACTAGTCAATTTCTACTGAAATACAAACGCCTTGTGGGTAAGTTCTACCGTAGAATTTTCTTTGTTTTCCTTGAGTAAAAAACGTTACCCCCACACTAGGATTTTTTCCTGTATCGTGAAGGCAGTTTATAAACATAAATTGCACAAGGATAAACATCCAGACCCGGAACAATTATTTGTAGGCTATACAAATACTTGTTCCATGCGGGATTCAAACCCGCGGCCCCAAGCGCAGCCACTCATTGCTAAGCCACTACGCCACGGGGCCGTCAGAAATAACTTACAAGACGTTTGTATTGCAATAAATTTACTTACCTTAACCCCAGAATAAATAATACTTAGTTTATTATATAATACTTAGTACATTTACTACTCAAAGAATGAAATAATCGTCGAATTGACGACGAAAATTATTGATCAAAGTACAAAATACGGAGGTTAGTGAAAATCGGGACATTTGGCGTCCCGAAGGGTGAATCGGGGCTTGTAACCAGACCCTAAAAATCGGAACATCCAGCACAAATTAGGACACCTGGCAATACTAATGGCAAGTATCCCCTAATTTGTTGGGAGGCCTATATTCTGCAGGAGACATTTGTTCGGTTGTATCGGTAAAGGTTGGATCACCTGATCCCCAAAGTTTAGCAACAACCATAAATTCATTAAAATTATGATAACACTTTTTATAAAAACTCTGTTTCAAAATAATTTTTACCATAGCCACCATCAGGTGGGCTGGGTGCTAGTTTGTCATCCGTATTCTGTAAAAAAACGAGTGTAGACAATGATTTCCGATGGTGTTGAAAAATGTTGCATTTAGTGTAAATTGACGAGAAATAGATAATGATAATTGTCATCTTCATTATGGCGGGAACGCAATATTACAAGCGTACAAAATTGCGTCTGATTTTGTGCGACTGATTTGGTATTTGATTCAGGGATGATCGATATAAGAACAACATCAACGTTAACGTTAATTCAAAAGTATCGATGTGCGATAAATATCGAGAGGAAAATATAAATGTTCGGAAACATGTCGATGTTTTAGGTGGCATAATCATAACTAGGATTATTTTATTTATTAAATGTTTTTATCACGTAAACTAGATTTTTTTTGGGTATACTGATGTCAACCAACTTTTAAATAAAGTCTTACTGAAGCTGTTGAAGTTGCTTTGCAGCAGAAATGTTTAACTGCTACTTCCTTTAAATTTGGAAAGGTGGATTCTAGGACTTGCTATAAAAGTAATGGATCCTAATCCATCGATGTCACGATGTTACTCTGATAACATCGATGTGGCGATGTTTACCCGCTGAATATCGTTGTTTATCTACCATCGATGAATATCGAACATCCCTAATATTATTCAGTAGGATTAGGCGGGCGGTACACGGTGAAATTATTTATCGCTTCGTTACGCTCATTTAGGGCTGACTCACATCTAATGGACGTGAGTTAACACAAATTCGTTATTAATTTATTGTCCATTACGCCAAGTTATTTTCGTGATGGGAGTTTATTTGAGTGGAGTTACGTTTTCGGGTTTTATTTTGATGTTGATTTATAAGTTGTGGGGATAATTGGTAAATAAATATATTAATTATGCCCTTTAAGCACATTTATAAAAATGATACGAGTTTTTACGGATATCCGTGAAAACTAGTTTCATTCAATGTGTAGTGTTGTTAATATAAAATATCACTACCAGTGTTAAGTTTTTATAAAATCGTGCTATAAATAAAGTAATAAAATTGTGAAAGTGCAAGCTATGCACAATCAATGATTCTTACCAACATCCTTCCAACTCTGTTCACCCCATATCTAACGCTTTTAAACAATTAACCAAAATTAAAAAAATGCTGTATAGTGGTGGTATAAAAGGTAGTGTATCCACTACCCATGCCATCTTTGTGTGTGTGTCATAATAGGCAACAGAGAGAAACTGAAACAGTTAATAGGCTATCTATTCTAGCCTTCATTCTTCTAGTAATAACTCAAGATAATAAAAAATGCTTTTGCTGACAGAGTCCACCTGCAGAGCGCAGTAATGTAAGAAGTTTGAGTTACAATATTTTAGGATATTCAAATAAAAGAAAATACCTGTTGTTTTACTAGTGCGGCTAGATCGCCGCGTGGTGGAGCTAGTGCATTCAGTTCAGTCTCTTTTCTGATCACCCACTCAGTGAGTTCACGTAATGACAGCAGCAGCGCAGACCAGTGCTCAGCGTTGCTCTCCAAACGATTTCTGGAACAAAATGTTGTATTAAACAACCAAGCAAATACCAGCGTGGAACATCAGCTTAACTTTTGTGTTTCGTACGGTGAGTGTAGAAAACCCAAAAAAAGCTTATTATGACAAGACGTCTGCATATACAAGTGTCTATAGGCCTCGGAATCCACTCAGGTGCCATCGGGTGGACTCTGTACTCGTTTGTCACCTTTATTCTGTAAAAAAGGAATCAAAAATCAGATGTGTTGCCACCCCCGAGGACTATAATGGAATGCCTCGTTTCCAGTAAAAAAGTCTGTAGTTCTCTACAACAGCCTTTGCTTGTATTATTGACGATTAAAGCAGTATGTGGCTGCTTACACTACTTCTGGTGAATATGAAAACCAATATGAGAGTGGCAAGAGCATTCACACGTTATGTAGTCGTGTTGAACGATGAAATATTGTAGCTTTTGTGCCGCTTCGCCCTGTTTTAGAAAGTTTGGCAAACTAGTATTGTTGTGTGTTTTGCGATGAAAATGGGCAGCTGTGCTTTCTCAAAGACTGACTCGTTTGTCGTACTGTCTTGTCATGTGATACTCAATACTATTCACATAGCGTATATGCAATGTTCCGGTTCTGTGTACTCACCATAAGAAATACATCAGTATTATGCTACTATTTGATGACTCCGTGGCGCAGTATCTTATTATTAAGTTGCAGCGCTGAAGGCCGCAGATTCAACTCCCGCAAGAAGCATGTATTTATATGACCTACAACTTATTGTTACGGGTCTGTATGTTCGTTTTTGTGCAATTTATGTATGTAAACTATCCCCACGAGGAGAAATCCTAGTGTGGCTGTAACGATTGAAAAAAGTGTGCCCTAGCATTTTGAGAGAACGTGGATCTTCCCCAGTCGAGCCAACCCAGCTGCAGTGTAACTCCACTATTTTTTTATTTTTAAATAATTTAATCAATATAATAAAAAATTTACAGCTTGAAATAATTGCGTTGGCCAGGCAAAGACAGGGCCACCTTGACGCGCCTCCGCGAGTCGTGGGACGATATTTCAAAAACTTGGCTGCGGCATAAAGCCAACGGGATGGCTGCAATTGTTGAAACTTGGCTGCGACTCAGCCCCGTAATATGTTTAAACTGTTACTTTAGACAAAAATAGAGATGTAACAAGAAAATATCGATAAGGATTTAAAAAACTGTAAATCGTATAAATAAGAAAATCCTTGTGTTAACGTTTTGAAAGTCCAAAAACTTAACTTGCTTCAGACATATTAAGTTAAAGGTATAATATTTCTTACAAGGGGTCATTCGACAGCTGTCATTTTATAAAAAAAACATACTTTTTGTGCTTGGGAGAATTCAAAGGATGCTTTCGGTATATTTTGTGACCTTTTAAGGCTTTTGACTGTGTATTCCATGAGACATTAATCAGGAATCCACAGTGCTATGGATTTAAGAACACAGCGCTTAAACTTATTATTTTATATTTAAGTAATAGAATGCAGAAAGTTATTATCAATGATTTAAAAAAATCCGGATCACCTGTACTAAAGGCTGTCCCTCAAGGCTCAATTCTCGGCCCCTTCATATTTATTGTCTATAATAATGAATACCGTAATGAATTACCTTCCCCTGTAGGGGATAATCATGATATAGTACTGTCTGCTGATGATACTTCCTTGATTTATGAACTTAAACGTCAATCATTTAAATGTAACGAAGTGGACAATACTATATCATATCTAGTAGTATTCGTTTAACGATAATAAAATACATTCAAATCAATAAAAGTAAATTTGTTAAGTTTACAACACCAAATATTAAGAGTCTGAATATTAATGTGTTTTTAAATGGGGAAGAACTGAGCCCGGTTGAATTCACTATTTGTCTTGGCATCAATCTCGACGCAAAGCTTCAGTGGGGCCCTCATATATCCAAACTAGCAAGCAGAATAAGCTCTGCAGTTTATGTTATTAAAAAGATCAGCCTCACTAGCGTCGAGACAGCTAGATTAGTTTATTTCAATTATTTCCATAGCATAATTTCTTAAGGGATTTTGCTATGAGGAAATAAAGCTGATTTAAAAACTATTTTTTTTCCGGAGGGGGCCATAAGAGCTATTTACAAACTAAAACCGAGTCACAATAAAATAAATATATTAACTTTGGTCTCTCATTTAATGTATCTTCACAAAAACAAAAGTAGTTTAGTTAAAAAAAGATATACAATATGTATATATAAAGAATCAGTAATTCATTTTTGGGGCATTGTATACGCTATTACAACAAAGTTGCAGAAAATATGCAAAATCTTTCTATTACCAGTTTGAGTAATTTATTAAACAAAAACTATATAAAAGAGTTATTATAATATAAATGAATAAATGATTGATAATAACACCTGGGAATGAGGTAGCCGCTTCCAAACTGTTTCTAAAATGATTTTTGTAAATAGTTCGTACAACCTTTCATATTGTTATAATTTACTGTAAAAAAGTTCCGTTGGGTTTATTCCTAGTTCTTCCCAGGGCAGAAGTCTTTCCCGAACCAGTGATAAAGTAAAAAAATGACTTTCAATAACAATTACATGTAATATGATCCATATCCTGTCACGATAATCACACTAATGATGGTTTTACAAAATTTTAAGAAGGTTAGACGTAGTTTTGAGAACTAAAAAACCATCCATGTCTCAGAAATGAGCAGATATGGTGCAATATTTTGACACTGCTGTCTTTAAACTGCGTGCCAGGCGTGGCTAGAGATGTCTGGTACTGTTTGAGTGATGATAGGGAAAAAAGAAAACCTGACTGTAGGTTGGTTACCTAAGGAGAAACAAGAGAAAAGTAACGAATCTAATGCAAGTATGGGTATGACGAATCAATAGCAGGAAACGCATTGCAAAAGTATGAGAAGTAGTAATACTAATTATCATATCGATATATACATGCCACTTCACTAGTCACATTCTATAAATCGCGCTCCTTGGTTAAAATTTTGTACAGACTCGTTTAGCTTTAAACCACCACAAAGTAAAATATACGATCTTTTAAACTTTAGCTGTAATTGAATAAAGACAAAATAGCTTAAACTTTGTGTAATAACTTAATTCTAATTAAGTTTATCTTATTTCAGTTTTAATTTAATAACTTTAAGTTGTTAAGCTACGCTAATTTTGAGGTTGGTTTTTAATGAGAATGAAGATGAACTGCGTCATTACAAAACTTTCATGAACCTATATAAAGGTAAGTTTTGTCCCCGATTATGTAATATAAATTTATTTCGCAAGGCTTTTCGTACCTATACATATAAATAAAATTGAAGGATCTGTCTGTAGCATCTAAAATAACTGGCTTTTATTAAACTCATGAAGTTATTTGCATGCTTTCAAAACATAAACAACCATTTGTTTTTAATTTTTGTCTGTCTATGTGTCTGTCTGTCAGTCCGGGCTATACTTCGGAATGGTTGAACCGATTGTGATGAAACTTTATGAACAGATAGAGAGCAATGCCGGTAGGGATCTACGCTATATTTTATATAATATAAAATATTTTTTTCTTTAATAGTAATATGTCAACCTATTTATTTTAACTTTTTGTGGACAGTTGTTTGGAAAATTTTAAAGTTGAAGAATGCGGGTTAAAGAATGGATGAGGTAACCGTCAAATGCCTTTTGTACGCCGATGATCAAGTTATATTTGCATCGTCGGCGGCCGAGTTGCAAATGATGGTTACATTAATGAACAGGTCGTTAAAAGTAAGGGGAATGAAAGTAAACGCAAGTAAGACGAAAGTTATGATTTTTGAAGGAGAAAAAAGTAAAACGATATGTGAAATAAGTATAGAAAGAGAGTTGGTCAAGCAAGTAGATGAGTTTGTATATTTGGGATGCATATTTAGCAGGGATGGGAGATATGTTAATGATATAGAACGACGAGTGAACATAGGAAATAGAATGAATGGGGACACTCTATTGTGGAAAGTCAGAATGTGTCAAAAAAGCCCGTGTGGTAATTCACATCATGTGTGTAGATGTCTTTATGTCTAATTATGTATGAATTGTTTCAGTTATTATTAAACATATGTTATAATTCGACAAATAATAACTTAAATTATAATTATAATAATTGTATGAATGTTATTAATGCTATTTACTACTATTTCAGCCCAAGAAAGTCCACTACTGAAGATAAGCCTCCCCTATAGATTTCCTAACAGGGGGTTGTTTGCCATAGTTGCCACGAGACAAAGTTACAAATTCTCTTACACAGCCTCCATATGACATTCGATTCAGAACGCTCCAAAACAGATTCGATTGTTATTCTTTTTCAAATCAGTCGGTCGGTAGATTTTGAAGCTCGTGAAATGCAGGAACCCCTGAAATATAGGGTATTAAGTAAAACAGGGGGCCTGCTCGCTTTTCTGATTTCGGTGTTGTAAGTAGTATTTTCGCGCACTATATAATTCTTCAACAGTATATAGTACTCAGACCCGAACATAATATAAGATATAGTACAATACTATATATTATAGTACGGTTGGTAACCCAAGCCCCAATGTATGTTGCCGGACTTCAAATTTCACCGAAATATATGTTTTTAATTTTTCAGACAGTAGGTTTCCTCACGCTGTTTATCTTCATCGCCAAGCACGTGGTAAATCAGCATTTAAAACTGCAATTAACAAATGTTATTAGTGCCCACGAGGATCAAAACCCGGGCTCGTGTACTACGATATTTACAACGAGCGCTAGGCCTCTGAACTACCACGGTTCTTAATTGGTAACAATAATATTTATATAATTCCGCCATGATTTCAATTTTAATTTTCCCAACTTGTAACCCTAACTGGACGTTGAATTTGGTAATCATGAACACATTCCCGTCCAACCGCGGTCTACAATGCAAATATGTAAACTGTCTCACAAAGCGAAAATCCCGTAAAGGCTGTCGAGGGGACAAAGACTGGCCCACCGGCCTTTTGCCGCAGTGCTGCCAAGTTAAATAAGGGGATGA